CGTGCGTGCAGCGAAGCCGAAGGCGATTATAAAGTAAGTGTGATAAGAGTTACGAAGCGCTCTTTCTTCGAGATATATACATCGGTGTAACATACGGATGTATCTTTGTGAAAAATGGGCGAATTAAAAGTGATCGACTGGAATTCATTCTGTAAAATCCGATTGCCAGACTTCGGAACCGGAAGATTGGCGCTAAAACTTCGTAGCACTCTTTCGACGAGTCTTTCGACCTCTTCTCGTAAAGAGAAAAGTTTCTTTTTCCGATTCTCTCGATCAAATAATGTAATTCGAGCAGTTAAATGTCTAATAAGACCAGAAATGGAGTTGACAAGGGTTGGATGCGATTTCGGAAAACTCTATTCCCGCCGATTTCTTTTAATTCAAGGATTATAGAAAAATACCTAAAAGTTATTATCAGCAAGCACATTTACTAAACGAGGAGAGTAACGACTCTTCTGGGGGGGGGGGAGGTGATTAACATTTGTTAACATTGTTATCGACTTTTATATATTATTACTATTTACATCTCTCTACCTGTACATATATTTTCGCAAGAGACAATGCATGTATCGTCAATTATCACGCGTTTAAAATATCCATCGTACCTCCATTTCGAAGGAAAAGAACTCTGCAAAAAATAAGTAAATTTAAAGGGATTGTGGAGAGAAAGAGAGAGAGAGAGAGAGAGAGAGAGAGAGAGAGAGAGAGAGAGAGCATCTTGTGTGAATGAAATCGTGAACACAGTGTCGCAGGTCGCGTTCCCGTCCTTTTAGCTCGCCTATTTTTTGCAGTAGAAGAGTAAAATAGTTTACGAGTGCACTTACGTAACGATCGAGGCTCGTTGTAATGTGAGAGATTGATAGCATGCCGGCGGATAAAGATAGGATTCTTACAAGTTACCGGGCACGTGTGATATCTTACTATCTAAAGTCTATCGAGGTAATTGCTGCGCAAGGCGAATCTTAATGTTCACCGCTGTCTACTCTCAATAAAGTGGCTGTCATTCAATAAATTACTTACTTTTTTAATTTGTCCGTGACAAAACAAAAAAAACAAGCAATTACATATATGTGTATTATATTAATATTTATAAATTATGTATTAATAATATACATGAATATGATATTTAAAATACGCCGCATATATTACTTGAATTTTTCTCGGCATTTCATTGTAAACAAGTCTTTCTGCATATAAACTAACAATTAAAAAGTAATTCCGCTTTCAAGTTATAATAGGGGAATACAACAATACAACAAGAGATCGCGAATTCATCATGAATAAACAAAACGCAATTTAACACAATTTATTTTTCTGCATACATTTCATAATGTATGTGAAAAATTGAAACAAAACGAAAGGTACGTACATCGATTTAGAATTTTAATGCATTCGTGTAAACGCGAATCAAAGTATTTCTGTTGAAATCACGTTTGAAACTGCAAAAAAATCGTTCGACGGGCGACATTCGATTTTATTGTTTCCCGCGGTGGCCATTTAATCATCCGCTTTTCAAGGCAGAACGCAAAAGCAGACGATTGGCTGTCACATCGCTTCTCACGGCGCAAGTCATATCCATGTAATTCTATGAATTTATTCTTTGTAATATATTAAACTTTTTTAAACATGAATATAGAGAATAGATCTGTCCACCGTTCATTTCCTTGAGGACGCAATTAATAAATTTTTACGTTTTCAATCTTTTTCTTTTTTTCCCTAACATCTATCTCATTTTAATGCAGAAAATGTATAATACAGTGCAACTACTTTTTTCTATTTATTTTTTACACGGTCTGTTTTTTATTGCTGCACTTTTTAAACAAGTACGCACAGTGCAATAAGTTGAAGTGAAACAAATATATGTTTGTTTCACTTCAACTTATTGCACCGGTTCAGAGCGCAGCAATAAAAAACAGACCTACAGCTGCACTCTCTGTACCATTCATCTTCCCTCTTTTTCTATCCGACATCCAATTTGTGGAGACACATTCATACTTCCGTACACACATACACATACACATTCCCACACTCATTCAGTTCTTCTTCAACCGCTAACAGACACGAATCATCGAGTTACATTTGTCGCGATAAGATATTGTATGTGCTAATAAACAAACATTATTTGTGAATCTGGCTTTCCTCCATTACCTACATTTATTATATGTAGCAATATCCGCTACAAATTGTATATCTATCTTACTTTTAAGTGCAAGAAGCAATGCAATTATTCTATATCTTCTATCAGAGTAGTCACATGATGCTTTGTTGAGAGTGCTGCACACGTGTAGTATAACATAACCTCTACTTTTGACGTTTGTAATATTTATTCGACAGATGAAAGATCTGTGAATATTCGTCTGTGTTTACTGTAGTTTACTCTTGGTGCAGAAACACGATTATGGCAAAGGTTTCGTGGAAACGTGTTAAGACAACAAGAAGCACGAGAGAGCAGTTGGAAATGTTCGATAAATCGGTATGACGTTTATAAACGCGTTTTGAAAAATGTTCCGTGTACATTTATATTTTATATCGTGTATTTATTTAATATATTACTTATATCTCTACGTGGTGCCGGCTTGCAGGAACTGATCGATAAGATATTACAATTGGAAGCTCACAACGAGCAACTAAAACTAACGATTACAAAACATACGGATACTAAAATGAAGAAAGAAGAGACACCAGGGAAAGTAAGAAAATCATTTGATTTTTCACGGTAAATATGTTGCTCTTGAATTTGTCATGTTCTTCTTTCATTCGAGTGATAGCCTATAATTTTAATCGTAGATGTCACAAAAGGCACATTCTGCTAAAGTTTTATTATCTTGGTTGGGACTATCACGGTTTTGCTGTACAGGAAGATAATACTGATACCATTGAGCATCATTTATTCGCAGCTCTGCTAAAAAGTTGCTGCATAGAATCCCGCGAAAGTTCAAATTACCATCGTTGTGGACGAACCGATAAAGGTGTTAGCGCCTTCTCTCAAGTAATCTCGTTGGATGTACGCAGTAGATTAGAACCAGAAAATCAAGACAACCTATCCGATGAGTTGCCATATTGTAAAATATTGAACAGATTACTACCAGCAAATATAAGATGTATAGCATGGTGTCCGGTTTCATCCACTTTCTCCGCAAGATTTGACTGCAAGTTTAGAAGCTATAGATATTTCTTTCCAAGGGGTAATTTAG